AGGGGTTGCAGGCGCGTACAATGTAAATGCCATCTCCAGCGTATTTGGAAATGAGAAATGTGGACTAGATTTTTCAATTCTTGGGGGTTTAGCATTTTTTTATCATTGATAATGGTAGCAAATAGATAGTCAGAAAACAACAAGCAACTAAAGGCGACAGTCGACAAATAGTCGAATTATCGATAAAAGGATCTTTTGAGCCACTAAATAAGCATGCATGTTGTATCTACGAAGAGTAATTTTAGCGTTTCTGAACTCTGAAGGTGATTATTTGACACTTTAAACTTTTTAGGAGGAGATGGTCTAAGGGGACCAACCCCACCACTAATTAAGCTTGGACTTTGGTCAACCTGAAGGCTGAAACAACCCAATGAAATATCCAAATTTTCAGTATGGGTGCGGATAATAACAACACCCCTTATGTTGTTATTATAACAATAGAATTCATTAAGGGTAAATAAGCAAATTAACAAAAAAATATCAAATTAAAATTAAATAAATAATCCCAAATCGTAATCCGCTCCGTCTATCTCGTATGCTATTTCTTCCGTTCTTCCCCATCTCCCGCTGTTCCTTCTTTCTTCCACCGCCGGCGTCGCAAATCCTCTCCGTCGGAGCTCTCTCTTCTTCGCAACAACCGCGGCGACGACAACGGCGCCGCGCCACAAATCCGAGTTCCTCGCTGCTCGCTTCATCCTCCGTCGAAGCTCTCTGTTAGATCTCGTCTGAACTCATCTGCTTTACTTTTTTGTTGGTGGTTTTTCTTCATCGACGACAAATCTAGATGGCAATGGAGAGGGCAGTGGTCGTTGGAGCACAAATAATTGCATTGAGCGCCGCCGCGACTTCGTTGCTAACGTCTCTAGCCTGGACGACAACAGCTCCAAAGGCCGCGCATCTCAGCCCTGTATCCTCTCTCTCTCCGCTTCCAATGGATCTCATTATTAGATCCAAGCCTGTTGATCTGGAAGTAGCAGAGTAGTGTTTGTGAATATATACATATATGTACCTTGAGATAGAGGGGGATTTTGGTCATGTTGTCGACGTATTCGAGAAGAGGGACGTGAGGGCCGAGCCCTGTTTGGTGAGGGTGAAATTGTACAAGGCAGAGAAGGGAAGAGAAATTGGATCTGGGGGCAGAAAATTGATTGAAAACGTGAGTAGTAGGTTGAAATGGTTGAAGGGTGTATATGTATATGTAAGGTTCTGGTTTCTCTATAAGAACAGGGTTCAATCTTTTATTTCGAGAAGGAGGGAAGAGGGGCTAGTTCTGTTCAATCCTTCGTTCCAATTCCATCCCAAAAAAGCACCCTTACCATTTTCCAGCTCCAACCAATACACACACAATCCAACCCTCTCTTTTCAGCCAACACAGAAAAGAACGAAGCCCAGAAAATCATTCCCAACCAACAATTGTTGATCTTTTCATTCAAAAACCTCTCAATGCATACCACAAATCTCTTAAAACAAACAAGAAACCTCACAAGGCAAACCATCGAATTTTTAAAAGCACACCAGAAACTTTTAAATGCAAACCAGAAACACAATAAAGCATACCAGAAACACCCTAATGCATAACACAAATCCACTAAAACATACTAGAAACCCCACAAAGCAAACCACAAATCCATTAAAATAAACCAGAAACCCCACAAATCAAACCATAAAATTTTCGAAAGCACATCATAAACTTCTTAATGCAAACTAGAAATACAATAAAGCAAACCAGAAACCTCCTAATGCATGCCACAAATCTCCTAAAACAAACCACAAACCTCGCAAAGCAAACCACAACATTTGCGAAAGCACACTAGAAACGTCCTAATGCAAACCACAAACATAGTAAATCAAACCACAAAAAAGCAAACCGGAAACGTCCAAATGCAGACCAAAAAATATTAAAACAAACCAGAAACCCCTCAAAGCAAACCACAAGTTTTTTGAAAGCAAACCAGAAACTTCTCAATGCAAACTAGAAACACTATAAAGCAAACCACAAAAGGCATACAAAAATATGAGAAACCAAACCATAAATCTCATAATGCAGACCATAACATCCGGTGATCGTTGACCGTTGACCGGTCAACAAAAATCGTTGATCAAACTCCGATGACTGTCAGTGACCGAATTCCGGAGCCGATGGGCATATTCCGGCCTTGATGACTAGATTCCGACGCCGGTAAGCATATTCCGGTGACAAAAAGCATATTCCGGTGACCAGATTCCAGCGACCGGTGGCCGAATTTCGGCTACCAAAATTTTGGGCCGAAAATAAAATATTTTTTATTATTATTTAAACATATTTTTTATAATGACAATAATACTCCTGCTTTGATTGTACACTAGATCAACTCATCTAATAAAAAGTCATCACAATACCTAATTTCCTATTGGTTGGAGACTAATGTTGTTACAATAACAAAATATGTATTGTTACCGTAACCGTTCCCGTTCCCTTCCAGTATGGAGACACCCATATACACATGTAAAGCCTTTTGGGCCGGCTCGATGTACGTGAATGATATCCCGGGCTTGTCCTCGAAGCCCATTAATTTATTCGTCCAAGTTCAGCGTAAAAGGAAGTGGAGATCCACATCTCCGTATAATTATTTTTGCGCTTGAACTACAACCACAATTTATACCAAATTTGATATTATGCATACGACCAAATGCTTATAGAGTTTTTCTTTTGGTTATTATAGCTTTTATAATATAATATGAACAACGTAGAAATATTACACATGTTAAAAAATATTTTTGAAATGTTTACGGAACATAGTTTATATATTCACATAACACTGTTCAAGTATTCCATTTTTATTTTATGGTTAATCAAAAATTTCATTAAGCTTAGGCCTCCAAATCGTATTACAATTTAGTGCCTCTCAAACCAAAGAAACCATCAAGAAGTAAGCTATCTATATGTATAACCTACAAACTACCATCCCAGGCTAAGGTTGTCTAGACCTTCCTGCAACTTCAACACCACTTCCGCTTCACACCTTCTCATCCGCTTTAAATCTGAACATTGTCGCACCAGAGACTTCGCAGGACCACTGCCGTAAAGCTGAGAACATTGTTCCCTCTAAACTAGGCTGATACAGACACTCCAGACTGCACGTCCCATCACAGCTTGGTCTATTTTATCCCTCTAGTTCCTCGCACACCACTGTAAGAGAGTCTACCAGTCTTGGTGAACAGGCGAAGCATAACCTTGCAAACATTGAACCAACATCCAAGTAATATAAGAACATGACACAAAAAGGTGATCGCGACTCTCCTTCCCCCCAGGGCATAACAAACAACATCCAGAAAAGGTTCCCCCATTTGAGCAGCTGATCTTGCAACGTCACACGATTCTGAATCAAATGCCAAAACATCAATCCATGTCGTGGGATGATCTCACCATGAAAAACTACACGGTACCATTCAACATCATTTCCATGTCGCCTGTAGGAATTCCAAACCTTTTTCACAGAAAATCGTTTCATATCAGCTCCATCCCAACCTGGGTTTAACCCTGAACAAGTTACGAAAGGCCTCGCTGCAGACCTGCACTTTAGAACTCTTTTCCACATCCATGACCCCGCTCCCTCCTACTTCAAATCCCATACTGATTGATTCTTCACTCTGTATTTTAAGATCCAAGCTACCCATAAGGATCCTCCTTGAGTAAGGATTTCCCACAGATGCCTAGTAACACATGCTTTATTCCACAATTGACAATACAAAGTTTCGAATTCCTAGGCCCCTTCTCTTTTGAGACGAGCTAGAAAGGACCATGCTGCAACTGCTCTCGTTCTCATAATTGTTTCATCAATCCCCTAGAGAAACTTGTTACAAATAGACTCTACTTCTTTAATCACATAAGCTGGCAACAAAAACAGATTCATCTAGAATTGTAGAATGCTTGTTAAGACCGATGAAACTAAGTGAAGTCTCCCTTCCAAGCTCAACGGTTTAGACCTCCAGCTTCGAATTTTCTGAGTGTTTTATCAATCATGGCTCTACTGTCATTTCTTTTAAGCTTCCCTGTGATTAGTGGAACCCCAAAATATCTCACAGGAAAAGCCCCAACTGGGAATCTAGAATACTCAGATATTACTCTCATCTCTTCCACCGTTATTCCCTCACAGAACATTTGACATTTCTGCGGATTACACTTCAGGCCTGATATAGAATAAAAGTGCTCAAGAACCCTCTTAATCCCCGCAACTCCTCGTATAGACTCATTTGTAAAGACCAGTAAATCATCTGCAAAGCAGAAATGCGTAATGGACAAAGCTTTACACCTTGGATGGTATGGAATCTGATTCTCTCTAACCTCCTTCTCAATCAATCCATCAAAAGCTTCCATAGCAATAGTAAAGAGGATAAGGGGACAAAGGTTCCCCTTGTCTTAAGCCTTTCTTCCAGGAAGAAACCACACAACCCCCATTCAAAGCCACACTAACCATTGGGGTGTGTACACATGCTGTTAACAGTTTAAGAAATGGTTTTGGAAATCCCATTGCCTTCATTATGTTTATCTTTATAGCACATATGGGGTAATAGTTGACCTGTGATAATCCTTAACCAATTCTGAAGTTACAGTATATTATCACTTATTAACCTTCCTCTTATAAAAGCAGATTGGGAGTTACTCACTACTTTAGGAAGGACTACAACAAGTCGAGAAGAGAGCAACTTAGAAATACCTTTATACAAAGTATTGCAACAAGAAATAGGTCGATAGTCCATCATCAAAGTTGTATTCTTCACATTGGCAATCAAGGTGAAAATAGTGGCATTATCTCCCGAGGCATATAACTAGTTGAGAAGAATTGGATAATCACATCCTCTACTAGATTCCCAAAGAACAATTGGGGCGCACGCCTTAATTGGGCTTATTCCTGCCCCAATTAATCTTTCCAATGTACAAATGTTTTCCAATATCGTTGTGTATTTTTTTTTTTGGACAAAAGATATCATATATATATTGATTGGAGAAATAGATCAGTACATCCTGGAACGAAACCAGGCCACAAAATCAAAAGAGCGACACATGGTCGGGTACAAGGAAAGGGCTTTGCGAGCCACCAAATGGGCTACCTTATTAATACGCCGACCTACAAATCGCACCCTAAACCCTATATTCTCAGACAGACAGTGCAAAACTTCATGGAAAATGGCACCATCACGACTATCACTGTCTTGAGTGTGCTAGCTTTAACTCAATATTGGGTGAAATTAACCAAGAGGGTGGAAATCCCCTCTTGGTCCAATTAGGAGCTAGACTCCTTAGCCACTTGGGTAACCTCATTTAGGTCAATTTAAGACCAAAATCTCAAATATCGCAGTAGGACCGTGATTCCACCTGGATAGGTCTCTCCGCCGAACAGATTAAGTTCCGAGGGTTTGGTTTGCAATTCTTAGCCGGCTAGTTGAGAGGGTTAGGTTCCCTAGCCTATCGTTGTCACCCTTAGCCGAAAGCTTAAGTGAGTTAGCTTATTAACTTGTTTGCAACGACTCTCAATTAGCTAACTAAGAGAGAGTTAGGGATCTCCTTGGTCGATCGATAAAGAGGGCTAGACTCTCAAGCTATGAATCACAATCCTTGACCTAACGGTTAAGAGAGCTAGTTCCCCTATCTTATATTTGTTGATTTTCCTTCATAGATAGACTAAGCGAGTTTGTCCCTAACTAGTTGAACCCACCTTGCGGTGTATGAACACTTCCTTCACACTAGAGCTTTGTTTGTCGCTTCTTAGCATGAGACTAGGGGGAGCAATACCCAGGTGAAGTCCCCTCAAGTAGAATCCTCCTCCATTTACTTTCCTTGCTTGTTTAGTTTGTAGTTTTCTTAGTTTTAAACCCAAAAATTGTTATGCTAGATAACAACTTAAGCGATTGAAGTAGGGGTACATGGATCGGCCCGGGTTTGACAATTAAATACTTGCCCTATACTGCACCCGGTTAGAGTTTAAAAACTTGGGCTCTAGTCGGGATTAATTCGCGGTATAGTTTCGTGTGAGTCAGTAAGCACATTGAGATGCATATTCGATATATTTGACAGCTTGTAGTACATGGATTAATTTCCTTCAATCTGTATTAAAGAATGAAGATTGAATATCTCATTGTTGATGTTAATTGGTTGTTGTTGTGCAATTCCTAAGTAACTGGGAAGACCCAATATGTATTACCAAAAATGATATAAGCTACTACAAATGGAAATTTGTGTAACCTTATTGTTTTTCATTATAAAGAGAACTTTTTGTTGTTCATAATAAAGAAATCTGCCCAACAACTGTGCAGCTATCACACATCCTATAGTTTATTTTAAAGAGTTTATTCCTCTAAAAAAAAATATATGTTAATGAGTTGATGATCTTAAATACTAATACTGTACAATTGCCTTTTTCCCCCCAAGATGTCGTACAACCCCTCAACTTAGGAGAGAATCAACTCCACATTCACTCTCTCTCTCTCTCTCTACCTCTCCCTTCCTCTCTAGGGCTCTCTATAAATAGATGGCTCGAGCAAAGACCAAAGAGCACCAAAACAAACTAAGAGTTGCCAAATCAAAAGAGCCTAATTCCCTTTCATTTGCTCACTTAATTACATTTCCCATCTCTCAATCACCATGGCCCAAATAACAATGAAGCCACTAGCAGCTTACTACTCCACTTGCCTTCTTCTTCTCCTCTCCATCATCATTCTCTCCCAACAGATTCACTCCATTGAAGCAGCGAGGGGCTTCAAGCTCAACCAAAATACCCTCCACGGCAACACCGCGAAAGGCTCTTTCACTACTATTGTAGCCGAGGTGGAAGAGACTGCTATCACCAGTCCACCACCGCCGCCGGTGGTGGTGGCTCCCGGCAGTCAGGCAACCTCCGAGCCACAGCAGCCTCCGGCCGCAGCCGCCCCCGGCCGCGGCACCGATGATTTCAGGCCCACCACTCCCGGCCACAGCCCCGGCGTTGGACATTCTACGCACAACTAAAACCGCGCATGCAAGAATTAATTACATGCAGAGCACGTAGCTATGAAGGTGCTGATTGATGTGTGCCAGTACTGCTTTGGGTTTACCTATGCAAGTGCTGTATTATCCGTTAGGGTTTATTGCAACGAAATTAATGTGTTTTAGGGCTAGGATTTAATTTAGAAAATTTGGATTTTTGTCGTTCAGTTCAATTTTATTTTTGGATTTCTGTATATTGTAAATTGCTTCAATCCAGTAATTTAAGAAATTTGATTATATTGTTCATCAACATCCATTTCTACTTTTTTTTAATGGGTAATCATAAATATTATTAAACTCAAGGAGGGTAGATTAACTCTACTCCTCACAAAAGTAACTTTACACTTCAAACAACTAAATGGCTACTACAAGAAAATACAAGTTTCATACCCATTATACACTCTACATTCATTATTCATACAGTCAAAAGACTGTATCGTTTTCACCGTCGCCTATCTGCTGTCAGCTCGGTACCTCAGTGAAACATATGGTACATCTTACTCTGTAATGAACTTAATTAATTAGTTACTAATATGAAACTGACTAATCATATATGAAGCATTATGCACCTTGTGCACGAAAATAAAGATCGAGAAGAAATTTTATAGGTGATGCACTTATAAAAATGAGTGCATAATATTCATCGTGGTTTAAATATAAATGATCATTAATCAATTAAACTTAATATATAATAATTGGATTTTACTGAAATAACAACAACACATAGAATTACCATTAATTCTTGCAGTTTTAGCGAGAAATATATCCAAATAATGGGCTTTCATTGTAACAAGTAAGTTCTAAATAAATTTGAAAAATTACATGCTTTCTTGTTCATCTTAACATAAGAATGAGATAAATTAGACAAATTAGATGATCAAAATGACGAATAAGAAAAGAATATTATAGCATATATTCTAAAAAGTGAAATGTGTATACTAGAAAAATGCATAAAAGTAAGATGAATTTTCAGAGTTATCCTGTTTTCCTGTTTTTGTGATATTTAAGGTAAAAGTGATTAAATTGTAAATCATCTTTGAAAATGTTTATGCATTTTTCACATTATAGTACAATTGAAAATCAAAATAATTTTATGTCAAATCGATAATGATAATGGCCATTATAAGAAAAATGCATAAGATACCCAACTTGGGTCAAAGGTGTATGCTATATTTATCTGGGCCTTTCCGATGGTTTTTTATTTTATTTTTTATTTTGGTATAAGACGATTGTTTATTTTGAAGAACTATGGAGATTTCAATTGTTTTATTTTTGTTTCTTTGTAATTTATAAAGGCGGTCCAAATGATAAACTAAACAATGAGGGAAGGTCCTCACCTACCGGAAGAGCCAGGCCATTCCATATAATAATTAGGAAGGAGAACTCCCCCCCCCCCCCCCCCCCCCCCCAATATTAAGAAGAACTTAATTAATTAATGGCAGTTGCTCAGGGAAATAGTAGGTGGTACGTACAATCTAAACCAATAGAGTATAGAGAAATCGAGCTTAATTAACCCGGTTCGGTTATAAATGAATACCAGATGCAATTTGATAGAGACATGATCATCAATATGCGTGAATGATACAAGAGTTTCGACATCTTTAAGTAGAGGTCGGCTATTTATATTTCTCACATCGATTAAAAAAAAAAACAGTTTGTAGGTGTGCAGAAAGAGCAACATTCTAGTTCATATATAAGTGAATCAACATGTTAATTCTAGGATTGGAATGGCCTAAGCCACACACTTCTTCAAACACGTATTATAGTTTTTCCTAATATATTTTATATTCATCAAATACTCCCTACCTTTGGCAAATGCGAAAACTAAAAAGCAACATATTACGAAACAAATTAATCTCACCAAGGAAATCAATTAGTACGCATGCAGAACAACGAACATGGGCGCTCCAGCAGTTTGAGATACAGCAGCAAAAGCACAACAGAGAGAACGAACAAGTACTACTACTATTCATTCATTATTCAATTATTATGTATTTTGACGGTTTGGATTCCATGGCAGGCGGAAAATGAAAGATTCCTCATGTGATGATGCCAAAGCATGCAACCTGCAGCCACCATCTTTTAATATAAAAAAAAAAAAAAACCATTGTCCATCAACGGTGAAGAAAGGAAGCTCGTGCACTACAGCTTTAGCTATTAATTGTTCTTTAGCATATACCTTTGCGGTTATTCAGTCTCGTTCACATTTCCACATGACTTCACGAGGCCAAGTTGATGACAACATTACCGCCAGCTTTTTCAAGTACGTCTAGTTGTTCAATGTTTTCTCGTTGTCCTGTGCTATAGTAGTTTAATAACTGTTTGAATTCTGTACCAGAAAATAGGAGGACGGTTCGACGGCTGGGAAGTATTGCCAATCGAACCAACCGTGTTGCGTCTTTCTTTTTATTCGAGACACATATATAATTATAAAAAAAACCAATCGAACCAACCCAACATTCCGAATCAGACTAATCCAGCCAGCCGACTTATCGCTCGTATTGTCATTTTTAAAATAAAAGATGAAGATGAATATTGATCTGCTTATCAATATGAACTCGAACCGGGATAATTCCCTAAATACACATAAAACTAAAACAAATTCCTAAACTACCACACATTTAAAATTTTTTCCCAAAATACCTAAGTTTGGAGTGGTTCGAGTTTGAGAAACTCGAACTACTAACCGGTTCGAGTGTGGGAGACTCGATCTACTCGTATATCGATGATATAAGCCTCGAACCATGTGGGTCTGAAGTGAACTCGAACCACTCCTTTGAAATTTCCAACCACCTTAACTTTGTGCTCGGTTATCCGATCGTAGCATACTTTTTTTTCATTTCGCATAACTTTTCGAGTACTACAACTTTTCAGAATATAATAGAAATATTTTCAGAATATATGTGAAATTGTGAAAATTAAATTTACTCCCAAAACCCCTTATATTGAAAACTACTCATATTTTGAAAATTTATTCCTAATAAATGTTATAGTACTAAAAAAGTTATGCAAAATAAAAAAACTTTGCGACTTATCGCTCGTATTGCCATTTTTAAAATAAGAGATGAAGATGAATATTGATCTGCTTATCAATATGAACTCGAACCTAGCTCATTATCATTCCTCCATGGTGCACTTCCCTTGGTGAAGGCTCTTGGCATTGTTGACTACACAAGGGTTAATAATAAGAAAATTAATACACAAATAGTAAAAGTAAAACGTCAACAACAGAATTGGCAAATAAGGATTAATTTGTAGACTTTTTCTCATTTTCGCCGCCGGCCTAGAATCTTGCAATAAATAAGTGAAAGATATTGGGTGAGTGGAGAGAACTTCCCCGGTTTGAGGAGCCAACCAACCCACCTGGATTCTGTCCAAATACTACTACTGAATATTCCAACCTCAAAAGGAATCCAGCACTCAATGCTTTGTCGTTAATTATTTGACTTTTTCAGTATCGAAACAAACAAAACTAAACTTGTTTTTAATTTCCAGACAAAGATTAGTGGGTCGACCCCAGAAGAAGCACATAATAGGGCTTGGTGGCTCTCTCGTGCAATTTGACCTTGGAGAGTTTTCTTTGACCCATTTTGTTTCTTAATCTTCCTGCCTTTTCTCTTTCGTGATCAATTCTTCTAATTAAGTATCTGTTTAGTGCTTGGTTGGGATTTACACAGCTGCTTATAAGATTCAGAGGTTGATCAAGGAAATGTTAGAGCAAGTGTCAGTTTTTGGAAATGAGGATAATGATAGTTTGAGAGAACCAAAAATAAATAGCATACACAAATAATATTAACTTACCAAACTTATGAATTCATTGGATTCCACAAATACATTATAGAAATCTACTGACGACGTTCTCAATGATTTGCAAAAACTGAGAATTGCGGAAAGTAAATAACACAAGAAGTTACATGGTATTCCCGAAACCGGGACTAATCCACGTAGAGCATTGGTCTCGGACTAATTGAAGCTTCACTATGAGATGTGGAAGTTTACAGAAGACAACAACTACTACTTATACCCTTCTACTGTTCTACAATACACAAGGGTATAAGGGAAAATAGTAGTCAAAATACAATCATATACTTAACATAAGAATATCAAACAATCAGGTCCAATAGACCGAAGAATAAATTTAAAAATATATCCTACATAAAAATTAAAATACCAATTATTTCACATACACAAAACATAACAAACCAAACGTCTTGATGATGCATTTTGATGCATGATCTAATGGTGTCATTTGGTGATGTTTTTTCGTCACTTGTATCGTCATCATTTAGTCATTAAACTTTAACATTTGTACTTCCAATTTTCGGTGTCTAATTATTATGGTATAAATTTTTATTATATAAAACTGATCCCCATGTTACTGTTGCCTAAGCTCTTGTTATCATGCACCACAAAGTACCATAATTTATGTTTATATCCATCTTGCTAACATATGTCAGTTTCATTGGTTCTTTCTCTTTCCACGCCTTTGTTTTCCGTTTTAGTATTTTGCAACTTCCACATAATCCATAGTTGTAATTTTTTGGCATGAGAGATTTGACTTAGCACACATACTTTTCAAAATGTTTCTCAATTTGAGAGTTGTGAACTTCTGATAAGGCTGGAACATTGTTCTTATTAGGATGACAAAATTATCTACAATCGTGGATCCCGAACAAATCTGAATATTGAGGGTAATTAGTGACATGGTTTTTTTTCACTATTCAACCCAACCCATCCGATTAATACACATGCGTATGTAATTTCTCTAGAAATGGTCATTATTTTTCTCAACAAATTTGATATTTATTATACATATATAATGTTTTCAAGAAATTGTGTTGCGTTAACTATTTTTTTTCATTTAAGTGATTTATAGTCATACTTTTTCACTTATGTAATGTCACTATACGGGTGAATATTAACATGCTAGTTAGAGTCATAAAGATAAATTATTAACCATGGATACCCGAAATATCGGATGTGGGCATGATTTTAATTTTTTACCCGATTTTTGTGTAGGTACGGATATGGGTAAAACCAGAACTACTTGTGTAGGGGAATGGAACCATTTGAAGATCAAGAAAAACACCAGATGTGAGCAGGACTAGAGAGACGAGTAGACAGAAGGTTGGCGAGACTCAAATCCCATTATTATTTGGAAAAAGGTTGAAATTGGTTTGTTATAATCTGCAATTTAGGACAATATAAAGGATTAGCGGTTGTTTCTCGAATTGACCACTTAGCCCACGGAAAAACGCGGCATCACAATCTAGTATATACATGAAACAACAAAAGCTAAGAGAGAACCCTACAAATTAATCATGCGCCCAATAAAATTATACCATAGTTCAGCATATTCTTAAAGCCTCATTCTGCATATCCTCGACGACATAAAAAAAAAAGAAGGTAAGCTTCAATTTTATAGAACCCAGGATCTCATTGTTGCAGCCGAAGGGAGTGGGATCAAAAGTATCTTATCATACAGAACAAGAGAGCTCCAAAAGTTGATGATACGCCGATATATTTTTCATTATCGGAAACCAAACAACAATACCAGCAATGGACATAATTCTTTGTAGGGTGTATATGGGTCGGGTGGTCCGGGTTTACCCATTTTAATCACTCGATTCATGCACTACGGTTTTGAATATATGAAATTCAAACCAACCAAAAAAATGAGAACTCTACGGTTTGTATTTAATTGGGTTGGGTCGGATTGACAATATTTTTAAGTAAAAACCCAACCCAATACAAAAAATGTAATTATTCTAAACCATAAAAATATTATATGATTAATTAAAATTTCAAACGAATAATCCGAGGTGGAAGGTATTAAAAATGCACAAATGTTGTTTGAATTTTAATAATATGTTATTTACTTCAACATATGTCTAGTTTTTCACGATATATATCGAAATAGACTAAAGAGGTTATAAACGAACGCATCCATAATATGTTACTCTATGGAAATTGTAGCTATATTAAATCTACTTCTAAATTTTAACCATAGAATGCATTAGATTAGGGAGACCATGAGAGAAAAACATGGTGAAATATCCTAAGTTTCTCATAAATATGCTTACATTTGACATAAATATTTGTTTGATATGAACTCATATCAGTAGTTTGATATGAGTTCATATCAAAACTACTGATATCAGTAATTGTTATGAACTCATATCAGTAATTGGAACGCGGGTTGGGTCAGGTTCTACGGGTTGTGTAATCCAAAATCCACACCCAAACCAAAAGAGACGGGTTGTGCAAAAGAAAACACTCATCCAACCCAAAACCTTCTTTTTAGCGATAAATACGGGTGGGTTGGGTTGAATTGAACGGGTGGGTCGATTTGCGGGTGTGTTTGTTCACCCCTAATACTTTGCAGATATCTTTTTGAAAAAAAAAGATAAAATTAATTAATAACAAAAGCACTAATGTAAGTCAAAGGAAAATGGTGAAGAAGTCAAAACCTAGCACTACACTATTTTTATTACACAATATTATTAATTTGCACGAAAAAATGAAGGTCAAAATTAGTTTATAATTATAAAACTAAGTGTCGTTATCATTGCCACACCATGAAGACTGGTCACATTTAAGTCGTCAAATGGCCGACTGGGAATGTCATACAAACCGTAGAATCAGCAGTAGGTTCCTTCCACCTTAGTTTAATTGGTTTTTGTACTACAAAATGTTGAAAATTTGTTCACTTCCTTAAAAGAATTCATCTTTCAAAGTGCTTGCTTTCAAAGAATTAGCACTTGCCAATGCCATACGTCGCAGTCTACCCACCAATGTTTTTCATTTTCATTTATTTAATTAGCGAGATGACAAAAAACCTAATTAAAATTATAGCTCAGACATTTATATTTCTCTAGTGGTTTAGTTTTAACTATCGAGAAAGCAATGTGAATTCAAGCCTTTGTTCATGTTTATAGTTTTGACACATGTATCATGTGCAATGAAGAACAATATCATCTCTGTATCTCTTTACTTCGGCGAGACTTAATTATAAAACTTATTAAATAACAAAATCGGTTATAAATGGCTCCCTGCCTTAGAATTAATAAAAATTCTTAGATAGATATCAATTGAGTGGGACTTCCAAAACAGGAAATTAATGATCATCAATTATTCTAGGTCATGGTGCTACACGCATGCTGTAGCCTTGTTAAACAATAACCAAAGTAATGTACAAGTCTCAAATCTTTATGGGGCCAAACACGAGATATGGTGAATCAATGAGCAATATGGGAGGTTCGGAGGCGTTCGGCCCCAAAACCATGGTGGGTCGTCGGCCAGTTGCCATTTTATATATAAGAGATGAGAAAACTATTCATATAAACAATACTAATGTCCAAAGATAGGTGAAAAGAAAGGCACTTTGCATAAAAAAAAATGGAATTCCAAATACTAGGAGTTCTTAAAATTTTCCAAATACTAAATTTTGTGTATCTAAACCCTACGTATCCAAAGAATTTTGTTGCCCCGTTATTTCCCAAGTGGGGTACTAGGCGCTTAGTAAGATATGAGGTGATGAAGGAAAAAATTAGAAATTTTGACCTATATGTATACGTAATTTAAAGGGAAAATTAGAAAATTTGATTTCTTCATTTTAAAAAAATTATAAAAAATATGATAAATCTATTTAAATTATTTAAGAAGTTAAAATTTTCACCTATTTATGATTTTATTATAGTTAAAATATGAGGTGATAAAAGAAAATTCTTAATTAATTTGAGTACAATTACATGTAATTAACTTAAAAAAATGGATCAATAATGAGGCGGATCAAGACAGGTCAAATCAAATAGAGTACACGTATCAGCCCGTCCTACATAATTACCTGCCAAAAAAGATAAAATCACTCTGGTAAAACGAATCAAGTAAAAATTTTCAACTACAATATCTTGACTCCAAAACCATTCACTTACATCCACTCCTGCAGAAAATACCGCATAATTTTTTGTGGCTGCTATGATGTTTTGTGGAAGAAGGAGAAGAATATGAAAGTATTCTTCTTAAGATTCTGGTGTGTTAATCCGGTTATAATTGTTAACACAGATTGTGTTGTTCTCACATTAATCAAGTTCGTGGTGTGGTAAATTTTTTTTTTTTTTAATTAGCGTCACTTTCTTCGCATATAAATTTTCTACACATATATAAAAGAATTGTATGGGCCCTTGGCAGACATTCTAAAAGGGTAGAAGTGGACGGAGAATCACAATGATAGTGACAAATATTAATTAGGAGAGTGTTATATTTATTGGGGTATAATAACCAAAAAGTACGTCCAAGCGCTACAAATAAACAAAGCAAGAAAGCCAAACCAATATACTTACTTGACTTTTGACAATTCCAGCAGCCTGTAGACCGCACGAGGAAAGTGTCATTTTCTCCAATAAAAACATTAATGAACAAGCGGAGAAAGGTAGCCAACTCGGCAAATACAATTCATTAGGAAATTTTTTTTAACTTTCAAATTATTAGCTATATCTATCAAAATACAAAATATTAATAAAATGTTAACATTTCATTAGCAATTTTATTAATAATGTTGATTTGACAACATGATAATGACATGAAAAAGATACGTGACAGTTAATATTCCAAAATTTTAGTATATTAACTAAGAAAAGAGTTACAAAATTACTAACGGTATGAGAAAGATGACTAATATTTTGATGGATTTCAAAAAAATTAGCTAATATTTTATATTTTGTAAGATTTGACTAATAATATACATAATTGAATAGTTTGACTAATAAATTTTATTTACCCTATATATTAAAAAAAAGTAGTAATTTCATACCTTGGTGTGTGGGGGTGGGGGGATATTCACGTCGTATTTGGATATTATTTGGAATTTTCGATTATTAATTATATATTATTGTTTATTTATTTTAGTAGGATTGAAATTTATATTTTAGTATTTGTTTAGGATTTCGTTATTGTTTTCTTGTAGGAAAAGGAGAAGGATGGTCAGGATTTTCTAACCTATTAACATGTAATCATTCTCTAGTGATTAATGCCATAGAAGATTGGAACCCAAATAATTTTCTTATGTTCTTTGTTTTCAATTTCATTTGATAGTTCTTTGCTTTAAGTATTTTCTTTCGTACGAGTGTTAGAAAAGTCATCACCTACGTCACATCGTCTTAACAAAGATCGCAGGAATCCCATCCCTAGCAATGGATTTTGGTGACTGATATAGTATCTTACGGTGGCTGATGATGAAGTTCTGACAATAAAGATGAGAAAAATAAATTCGCACAAAAAATCTTCTAATAAATACAAATTATTTTTTAATGAATGAGTATGATGATCGAATTCATGATTTTGGACACAATTCTCACAAGATAATTCAGATTTATTTTCCTCTGGAAATATAGGGTGTTCCCTGCCGTTCCTATTTTTGTTTGCTTGCGTCTGGGATAGTTGCAGAAATTTCACTTTTTGTTTACTAATTTTGTAAAAGCTTATGGTTAACTAAACGCATTGACCATGGAATGTAACAAAAACATCATAGCTTCCATCCGAAATGATAATTTCAAAACGTGTACCACATACATAATTTTATTACAAAATTTAGGTATTCTAGTATTATTAACTCTGAAAGATATACTTTTTTCTCGATAAAAGCCGTGGAGTGCTTTTGCAAATCCTTGGGGAGATTGGAATCTTTGGCTTTCTGGACTGTTGAGGCTAGCAATGATGCCCAATGCAATGGGAAGTTTCCCTTTGAGGAAAACCATAAAAAAGGATGGCTGCAACTTGGAAGTTTGAACAGAGAAAAGTTGGTCCAATGGACAGATGGTATTCACTTGAATTGTCGAACAAATGTATAGAATTAAGGCCAAGAATGTATGGGAAGTTTCTTCTAATTCAGTTGGGTCTTGGGTCTAGAAGAGAGTTTTGAAACTTCGAGACACTGCTAGAAGATTTATCACAGGTGCTGGTTCTTCTTTATGTCGGGATGGTTGTTCTATGACTAGCTTCTCTGTTAAGCGAGTTTGGTTAAGTATTCGTACCCCATCGGCTAAGATGAGCTGGTCAGAACTTGTTTGGGGTAAGCATATAATACCCAAATATAGTGTTCAGTCGTGGATTATAGTTCAGAACAGAATCACCACTGCTGATAAGCTTCTGGCTTGGGGGAAAATGGTTTCTGCTGTGTGTGTTATGCCCAGGAGGTTTAGAGAGTAGAAATCATCTCTTTGGCTCCTGCTGCTACTTTGAGTGTGTGTTGTAGGTTCTTTTTGCTGTTATACCATCTCTCCACTTTGGCTGCTGGGAAGACACATTGTCTTGGGCTTTGGAGCGTTGGAAGGGATCGAGTAATACTGCTAGAGTTGGTTGTCTACTGTGGCATTTAGCCATCAGCAATGTATGGAAGGAGCAATGAAGAAGATGGTACGGGGATTGTGCTGCTGTTTCCCCACTCCAGTTAGCGCGCCGGATCCATTCAGAAGTGGATTGCTTAGTATATAAGTTTCCTACACTCGGCCCTATTTTTGATAGGTTTTCTGTTAAGTCCCCATAGTCTATCATTGTGTAAATGAGTACAATCTGATTTAGGGTTTCCTGGCGCTTAATGAAAATTTGGATTCATCCAAAAAAATATTTTTTAATGAATGAGTGTGATGATTGAATTCATGATTTTTGACACAATTTTCACAAGATAATTCGAATTTATTTTCCTCAGGATATATAAGGTGTTCCCTGCCGTTCCTATTTTTGTTTGCTCGCGTTTGGGATAGTTGCAGAAATTTCACTTTTTGTTTACTAATTTTGTAAAAGCTTATGGTTAACTAAACACATTTACCATGAATGTAACAAAAACATTATAGCTTACATCCCAAATGATAATTTCAGAACTTGTACCACATACATAATTTTATTACAAAATTTAGCTATTCTAGTATTATTAAGTATTAACTGAAAGATATACTTTTTCCATTAAAAGCCGTGGAGTGCTTTTGCAAATCCTTGGGAAGATTGGAATCTTTGGCTCTCTGGACTGTGGAGGCTAGCAATGATGCCAAATGCAATGGGAAGTTTCCCTTTGAGGAAAACCATAAACAAGGATGGCTGCAACTTGGAAGTTTGAACAGAGAAAAGTTGGTCCAATGGACAGATGGTATTCACTTGAAATTGTCGACCAAACCTTTGCACGGAAACCATTAACATTTAATGCTGCTCGATTTGTATATGGACCGAGTGGACAGTACACAAGAATCTCTATCAGTTTGTTTTTTCTGCTAAAGAATCCCCATTATTTTGGAGTATTCTGAGTTGGTGGGGTGGTTTCCTTAGGATATCATAGTTATACTTGGCAGCCGACTTGTTGTTTATTATTTTATGAATCGATTGGTTTCATTACATAAAAAAATAGAGTGCTAGCAAGTAGCAACACCCTTTCTTACTAGGGTAGAACAATGTGAAAAGTCACCTTACATCACATTTTGAACTAATATTGACGGTAAAACTATAGCTAATAGAATCTATTTTGTATGTACAGCCCCAGGTAAAAACAACAATCTAGGAAACCCAAAGTCTCTTCACATCATCTTCACCCAATACTCCTTGAAATTCTTCTTTGATAGATGGCAACAATACATTACCATCTCTACTTGTTCTTGCAAAGATTCTACAACAACTCTCACGCCAAATATCGAGATCCTTGGAGCTACTCATGCACATAAGGGTCCTGGAACTGGCACAAATTGCTGAAGTTGAGGGGTAAGATTGTATCTTTCATTTCGAATTGGGGGGGGGGGGGGCCTCCTCCTCCTAAATAACTCCCTTATGACTTCCTTCTCTATCAAGCGGGTTTGCCAGCTCCTGCGGCCTGCTCAACAGACTGTAGGATGGTGGAAACTGGTTTGGAAGGGCAAGGCTATTCCTCGAAATAGAGTTATCACTTGGCTTGTTATTAGAGGAAGCATCAACACAAAGGTGAAGATGCAACGTTGGGGATATGGTGGTAGTTTGGCTTGTTGTCTGTGTGGAGTAGGGGTGGAAGATAGGGATCACATTTATGGCCACTGTCCATTTGTGCGTCAGCTCTTAGAGTCACTTTTTTACAGATTTATGCAGATCCCTACATTGGAGAGACGGGAGGATGTGCTGACTTTGATGGTGTCCAAACTCGGAGGGGCTGCTGAGACTGTTGAAACAGGGAGGATAATCTGGCAGTCATGAGTGAGCCACATATGGAGGGAATGATGCCGTCGTTTGTACTCAGCTGAAATGAAAGACTGTAGCACATTGCTGAAGGTGATCAAAACTGAAATTGAATGTTTGTTGGGTAACCATAGAGTTCGTCTATTCTGGGATGTTAAGTTATCAGTATCTGTTCTTGTTGCTCTTGAGTTTGTAGGTGATCTGAATTGTCTCTAGTGTTGTGAGTAGCATGTACCTAGCTAGCAGGGTTTGTTGCTAGCGCCTCTTTTTTTATTAATGAAAACCATCGATTCATAAAAAAGAGACTGATTAGACTGTGCCACACAGCTTCCCTACCTCTGCTACTTTAGCTTTACCACCAAATTTTGCAACAACCACTCCTAAGTTTAAAGTTTTTTTTATATTAAAATCACTTACAGAATATATGAATTAAAAATTAATATAGATCACGAAACATTACTCTTTTTGTAAAATTATCTACAAAAATATAAATTTTTTGTATTCAATCCAAAATCTCTTAAAAAAATTTACTCTACATCTTTTGAGCTAAGGTGGTGCAAATGACATGCCTTAGGCTTGAGTGGCTCCACCACTGTATGTCGTACTGCAAAATCATAATTACAGCTCCTAAGATCACGGAGCCCCAACCGCCCTTCTGTTTTAGGGAAGGTAAGATTGTGCCACACCACATTTGCCCTGAGTTTGGGACCATTCCCTACACCCCACAAGAAGTTGCTGCATATTTTTTCAATTTTTCTTATCACTGTCTTTGGGAGAAGGAAAACATATATCTAATACTATGTGAGGCTTTAGAGGATAGAGCTAACAAGCTCCACTGTCCCATAAGAAAGTGATTTTGGCTTTCCAAGTGCGAATCCTAGCTACAGACTCAAGCACTCTCCAAAAAATAGCTCACATTTACTAGGATTCCACTTCAAGCCAGAGAGGGATCTAAACTTTTCCAGAACTCTATTCAAACTTTGAGATCCATAGTTTGAAACATCTGTGAACACTAGAACATTATGTGCAAAGAAGAGACGAGTAATCTCTAGTTTTTTGCACATTGGATGCTATGGGAATTGACCAATAACAACTGTCTTATCAATGAGACATGAGAAAATCTCCAAGGCAATCGCAAACAAGTAGGGAGAAAGAGGACAACCTTGTATAAATCCCTTACAAGCTAGAAAATACCCCTTCCAATCTCCCATTGAAACAGACACTGCACATACAGGTGCCTATACACATCTTAATCCAACTAATGAATCGTGGGGGGGAACCCATATTGTGAAGAACTTGAAATATGGATTTCTAGTCCACAAAGTCAAAAAATTTCATAAGATCGATCTTAAGATCACAACGAGAAGAGATTTTTCTCTGAGAATAAGTATGCACTAGTACGTAGGCAAGAAGTATGTTGTCTCCAATAACACACCCCTTAACAAATGATGTTTGGTTTTTGCTAATCAAGTAGGGGAAGTGAGGACTTAACCTATTGGCTAAAATTTTGGATATAATCATATATATAACATTGCAGTAAGGGACAGTTGGAAAACTACGCAGTATCATCAGGATTCAGAACCTTTGGAATCAATGCAAGAATTGTAGCATTCACTTCTCTAGGAAATGGATTTGAAAGAAACAATTTTGATTGGCGAATGTTACCTCAACACCTATCACAGGCCAAACATAATGGAAGAACGATGTTAAAAAGCCATCTGGCCCTAGACTCTTGTCCCCATTCATTGGGAATACCACTTCTTTTATCTCCTCAAATAATATTGGATCATACAGATGGGCAGTGTGTCCTTCATTTAATGTTTTACTAGGTAGAGATTTGTAGAATTCATCTGATTCTTCCTGAACATTTTGATCAACAGTTCCCAGAAGCATCTTGTATATGTTTTTTGCAATATCACATATCTCCTTAACATCAGTTACCATGCAACCCTGAGAGTCTCTTAATACTTTCATGGTGTTTCTCTTCTGCCTCTTTTTAGAGACCTTTGGAAATAAGTTGAGTTAGAGTATCCCCATTTCAACAAGAGTTCTCTAGAATTTGATATGAGAAAGGATTCCCCAGCTTCCATAAGTGTTTTTGGTCTTGTGATAGTTTATACTCAAGTAAAAAAGAACTCCTCTAATGGATATGAGAGAGCCTGCTGGTGTAAATCAATTAACTCATCCTTATATCTGAATATTCTTCTCTTTAGGGCTTTTTTTAAAAGCTTCTTAAGAATTCATAGCTTCTTGTAAACCTTAACTCATCCTTCTTTTTCTAATGCTGCTTCGATCGAGCTTTAAATTTATAAAGTCGAAGCGCACTCACTAGTCAATCCTAACAAGGCCAACTATAACCAAGCTAGGGATATAGCAAAGCGGCTTGGTCGTTTTCCAAGGGTCACAATTTCCTAGACTACTTAGGCTCGATCGTTATCTAGTCAACCCGTTACTTAGCAGGTGGCAGTTGGCGATTCCTAAGCTAAAGATCGATAGATGAGAAGAGGCACTCGGGGTAACTCCCTCGCCCTAGCCTAGGTCTATCATGCAAATGTCTAAATATATCGAGTTAAGCAAATATGGTGAGTGAGCTCTTTTCCTTGGACCTTCGTGATTATCCACATGCCTTTGAGTATGCCCTACCTACCCCATTGTCACCTCGATATAGGCTCACTTATCTGGGACTTTAAAGACCTAGCTCCTTTCAATGGGTACTACCCATCGTCCACACTAAGGTTTCATCTCGCGTTCCATCTAGGAAGGCTTTCTAGTGGTAGGTGTTCGATCACCTCGTCCACCAAAAGACCCTATTCATTCATCTAACCCTAATTTGCCAGATGGCGCATACCCATCTAACCCCATAACTCCATACCCAACGTAGAAGCTCAAGTATGCTAGTAAAGTGGATTAGGGCGACTTACCCAAGCACAATTAAAGCTAAAAGAAGCATTAAAATCACTAGACAAACAGATTCATTTAAAACCCTAACATATTCATTCATTTACATAATAGCCCTAAAACTATGGTTTGGGGATTTAAACCCTTAGTACCTTGGGACATCACTAGGGGTGTCCATTCGGGTTTACCCGAAACCGACCCGATTATATACATTTTCGGTTTTTTGGATTCGGGTTCGTTTCCGGTTTCGAGTTTTTTGGTTTCGAGTTTGGTTTTTCTTATCGGTTTTTCGGGTTCCGGCTAAAAACCTCCAATGAATAGAACTCAACCCGTATTTTTAGGCGTTCGGGTTTTCGGGTTTCGATTTTGCTTTAACCGAATCCGATAAGGAATTTTCGGATTTCGGGTAACCGAAATGCGCAAGTCCTTATCGGGTTCGGTTTTAGTGATTTTTGATTTCGGGTTTTTTCGGGTTTCGGTTTGGGTAACCGAACCCGAACCAAACTGACACCCCTAGACATCACCCATGAAGGGGGAAAGAAAAGAAATACAAAGAGGGAAAGAAATCATGAAGAAATGGGTCTTCATTTGATTGAAGTCCTCCTCCAAAGCTCTCATCCTCTTCTTCTCCTTTCTTCAGCTTCTCTCTCTAATCTCTCTCTAGAATAAAAAATCTGTCAAAAGCCATCTTCTATAGGGGGAGGAGTCTCCTATTTATAGAATTTAGAAGGGTGGACAAGTTCATGGCCGAGTAGGGGAAATTTGCGGTCGTGATCTTTCCCTTCGAGCCTGCGATTTTCAGGCGTCACTGTTCTGGTTTTCATCTTCGGGGAGTTCGTGGGCTGACTTAGCTCAATAGCTCAAGCCCAATAGCTCCCTTTCCGCGGCCTCAAACTAGGGTCGTCAGGCCGGGATCTTCTCTTAGGTGGCTTCATCAAAAAGTTTAAGCCCAATAGCTCCCTTTCTGCGGCCGCAAACTAGGGTCGTCAGGCCGGGATCTTCTCTCCTGCTTCGCAATTTGTTGTCTCGGCCGAGATCTTTCTCTTCTAGACTATGATCATCAGCTTCCCTCCCATTTTACTACACTTCTGCCATTTTTCGTACATAATTCACATGTATCCTCTAAAAGCACCTAAAATCACGTAATCAAATAGGAACAAAATAGAAATGAAATCAATGAGATTCTTTCAATTATGCACATGAATTAGCACAGAACTAACATAAATACGAAGGATAAATAGCAGCAATTTGGGCGGTATCACCTATAGTGCCAGAGCTTCCAATATTTGATGACCCATTAACTATGTGGGTAAAGCTTAGAGAGGGACTCCCTATTAATTAAAGTGCAACACTGATTTCAATCTCAGAAGAGGACTCCCTTTGTTAAATTTGCCTCTAGTGTATCCCCTGACTGGGATTAGAAAGACGCTTTAAGACTTGGATCATTGATCTCTACAAGGATGACTTGAGCTACCGATCCATCATACTAGTTGTCTCATCGTTACTATCCAAATTTTGAGCTACAACATCACCTATTTCAATTACTTTCTCTTTTATTTTTTTCTCATTAGAAACATGTACCCATGCCCCATGGTTCCCGTTGGTTACTCACCCGTCAGTAACCGTTGGTTACTCACCCGTCAGTAACTATCCAGAAGCCGTTGATTTGGGTGAATTCATCGTGTGGCTGGGATGGATGCGGGGATGACCAATGATATTTTTGTCTATTTCTTTAATTTTCATAGTTTTTTCGTTTTTTATTTTGCCCAACATTTATTAGCTGGTTTCAATGGGGGAGAGAGAGTGCATCTTTCCTTTTTTTTTATGAAACTCTCTTTTTCTCTTTCTCTCTCTCAATCTCCTTGTTCTCAAGATCTAATATCATCATTAAATGGGTTGACGGTGAGAGTCACGGTGGGGTCCGCACCTGGTCCAAAATCAGTATCATCATTAAATGGGTTGACGCTATTACGATTTTATCCCTTTGTATATTTAAGGGTTAATTGCATGGTTGGTCACTGAGATTACAAAAAACGTTCAAGTTTGGTCACTCGAAATATTTAAATCCATTAGTGGTACTTCAGTTTACTGAAACCATTCACGTTTGGTCACTCTCCGTCCAACTCCGTTAACTTTTGCTGATGTGGCAGTCAACTCTCAAAGTTGACCGTTAACTTAGTGACGTGGCAACTAAAAAATACTAAAAATAAAAAAATCAAACTTTTATATTTTCCACCTCATTATTACATTCATTAAAAAAAACATAATTAAATCATCAGCAGGGGAGCCTTTGCAGAGGGGAGCCTGCTTCTCGATCTCATCCATGGAGCTCAATCATCATCAGCAGCAGCCGGTGGTGGCGGAGGAAATCATCTTCCGCTCCAAATTGCCCGACATCGACATCCCCAACCACCTCCCCCTCCACTCCTACATCTTCCAGAACATTGTCAACCACGCCGACCGCCCCTGCCTCATCGACTTCCTCTCCGGCCAGATCCTCACTTACGCCGAACTCCACCTCACTGCCCGCCGCGTCGCCGCGGGGCTCGACAACCTCGCCGTCAAGGGGAACGTGATTATGCTCCTCCTCCCTAATTGCCCCCAATTCGTCCTCGCCTTCCTCGGCGCCATTGCCACCACCTTCAACCCCTTCTTCACACCCGCTAAGGTCTCCAAGCAGGCGAAAGCCTCCGGCGCAAAATTAGTCATCACGGGTTCGAGATGGTGGTTGTCCGCCATCTGGTCGCGCTTTTATATTTTCTCGCTGTCACCTCCGCAGCCTTGTCTGCCATCGCCAGTGCCACCCTTTTGTCCTTTGGCGAAAGAAACCCAGCGCAGCCAGTACCGCTCGGGCCCCCGGAGGCGGCGGATTCGTAGGCGGCGGCAAACTTGGCCTTGCCAGCTTCGTACCGCTGCATGTCGTAGGGCGAGCTCCTTCTACAACTGCTTGTCGGCGATCAGGATCTCGTCGATCTCGTTCTTGTAGTCTTTCAAGAGCACGCGGAGGCACTCCATGAAGGGAATTGTAAGGAAGCAGCCTTTTCGGAGGTGGAAGGAGCGGGTTCGGAGGTGGAAGGGATGAAATGAAATTAGGTTTTCTATTTTTTAATGAAGGTAATAATGAGATGGAAAATATAAAAGTTTATTTTTTTATTTTTAATAATTTTTTAGTTGCCACGTCACTAAGCTAACGGTCAACTTTGAGAGTTGACTGCCACATCCGCAAAAGTTAACAGAGTTGGACGGAGAGTGACCAAACGTGAACGGTTTCAGTAAACTGAAGTACCACCAATGGATTTAAATATTTCGAGTGACCAAACTTGAACGTTTTTTGTAATCTCAGTGACCAACCATGAAATTAACCCGTATATTTAATTTTCCTGATCTGACGTCTATGAATTAATGCAATGGACGATAGATGAGCTGGTTACCGACAATTACTGACAAGAAGGTTATAGATGAGATCAGGACCTGGCCTTTGCTAACAATTATGGCCAAACAGACTACATTTTGCGCATACAGGAGGCAAGTTCCAGTATTCCACTTCAATCTCAAATTTAGGATCCTCATCAGGGTAGAATTTTACATTAGACGGGATTCCAAAGTCTGCTCCCAATTCAATACAAGCTTTTGCAAAGTCAACTGACCTCCTACTCGGGTCTTCTAATCCATCCACAAAAGCTTCCCATGGGAGACCATGAATCCCGACCTAGATGGGAAGAGTTTCCACTTTTGTGGAGAGCAGTTGAATACCAGAATACCACTTACGAAAGAAAATAGGATTACCCAAGTGATACCAGGGCCCCGATTGGAATACCTAGTTACAGAGCAGCAGAGAACATGAATTGAAATACTAGAAGCTTAGATCTGAACCGCGAGACTCGAACCATACCATCTCTCCGCCATAGTCTGTTTTCCCAAACCTGAAGGTCAGGGAGCTTCGGTCTCGTCCCAACAAATTTAGCGATAAGAGAATCTTTCCACCATTCCGCGCCCTTCTCTTTCACTTGCTTGGGGAGACGGAAACCATCCTTCGATCGATTCAGGAGCTTACCGAAGCCGATTTTCAGGTGCTACAAAAAATGATGCGCCCAACACGAGCCCTATATATTAATTTCGTTTAGAATTTTTAGGACATGTTTGGTTTGAAACCTAAAAGTGAGATCTTTACTTGGACTGGTATGGTTTTAATGATATTTAAAGTGATTCATTGTGAACTATATATATGTAATTATGAAAATTGATGTATTCTGATTTCTGTCGTTTGATTTTTGTGATAGTTTTTTATTGGACTTTTTTGTGATATTTATTGTATTATTTCAATAAAGTATTACTTTTTGAGCAAAAAGTTAGGTGTTTAAACCGTCCAGTAAGAAGTTTAATGGTTTTGGTTTTTGGTAAAACTAAAAAACCAATAAGAAGCCATTAACACCCTGACTAAGAAAGACTTGTAAACAACATGCGTTGTGTCTAACTTATATATAGGCGACGTGTTTCCTATCTTCATACTTATTGTTGTCTTTTTATACTCCATTTTTTGACTCTCCAAATTGATTTTTGGTTTTGTGGTTTATCCAAACCAAACCGAATGATTAAAGGACTTATCAGTTAATCAATAACCAATAATACCCTTTATGGTTTTGATTAAGATTTTTGGAAATTTTCCTGATTTGGTTTTTGATTTTCGGTTGATGGTTTAGTTAACCAAACTGACAACCCTTATTACCCCACTTAATCCGGAGTGGAGAAAATTTATACCACGGATAAAGGTTAATATGATCTAAGGGAGGCAAATGTCTTATGGCATACCTTAATCTCTTCGGTTATAGATTTTTAGCACCATGATGGTGCCTTTATAGTTTGTCTCTTTGTATTAAAATTTTAGTGTTGTGAAGTTATGGTCGTGCACCTCATCAACATATGGCGGAAAGCAAGTCTGGAGTTCATATCTTAAATGATTTATTTAATCAAGTCAAAGAATCTCTGAGGATATGCAACTGACTTGATCGGCTGGTATGGTACTGAAACTATTTTCTTCATTTTATTTCGATAAATTCTATTACGGCATTACCGATGCTCATATCAAAATTACTTGCCCTTAGTGAGGTTGTGTGATGGTATGTTACTCATAGTGTATTATTTGTTACATATTGCTGTGTTTCTCACCTGGCCAACATGGATCCTACATGGAGGAAGCCTTCCCAGAGCAGGAGCCACTTACAGGGAAGGTTTTTCTCTCTTCCCAACGTTCGTGTCAGTTTCGTGTCTTTTTGTTATTTGGAGCTTTCATAGAGTGGTCCACCTTGAAACATAACAGACTTTTCCATCGGGAATCCAGTTGCATACGAATCACCGTTCTTTATCATTATATGTTTTGTATTTTGTTGTCCGACCATTCTCTATGGGCTTATCTTGAATAAAAAAAACTTAATTTAGCAAATTATGTTGAACAAAATATTTAATCATACAGTTCAGTACATGACGTGTTTGTATATCTTTTAACAAAATACGAATGTTTGTCAATATCAGTACTTGATAAGAGTATTTTAGTCACCACATTGGCTATAATTATCCTAAGAATTAGAGTTTGCAAGTTAACTAACTTAATTAATATTATGCGAAATAAGTGGACTTAAGAAGCAAAATTAAGAAAATCCAATCACTAATGGACTTTTCAGCCCAGGTAATCCTAACGGGAAAATAAATTACAAAATTCTATACACTATTGGACCCGTGTCTTTTCTTCGTGAGATTTATCATGACAGTTGACACCCACTCAACCTCAGTAAATTGTTTAGTCACTTTTTTCTATCAACTTAGGCGTGGTTTGGATAGATCAATATAGAAATTAGATAATTTGACCAATTGTTTCATTTTATAAACGAGGCAATTACAATGAGGTCATTCGGATTACCTGCTCCTCCCCAGAGAATTGATATGGACTCAAAACAGATCAATTCAAAATAGCTCAGACAAATTGATCCATCCAAATTTTTTGCTTGCAAATTAGTCAATTTGTTCCTATTGTCTCAAAACGACACAATTGTGTCAAATTGATTCTTTACAATTTCTCATCCAAACGACCATTAAATTTTTGAAATTCGCCCCTCTTGCTTTATGATATTTTTGGTGTGCTTCAGTGGATTTGTGGTATGCTTTGTTTGAGTTCTGGTGTGTTTTAAAAAACTTGTGGTTTGCTTAATAAACTTTTCATATGCTTTGTAAGGTTTCTGGTGTGCTTTAGTGGAGTTGTGGTTTGCTTTGTCATGGTTTTGGTGTGTTTTATAATACTTGTTGTTTGCTTAAATAAACTTGTGGGTTCTTTAATAAAGTTTAGGTATGCTTTATGATGTTTCTGGTGTGTTTTAATGGACTTGTGGTATGTTTTGTCAGGGTTTTGGTGTGTTTTAGAAAATTTGTGGTGTGCTTTATGGAGTTTGTGATATGGTCAGTTGTGGTGTGCTTGTGATATAGTTAATTGTTGTTTGCTTTAGTACTTGAAATTAATTTATTAGTTATAACTCCTAAAAAATTTGATGAAAAATTATATTTTAGTACCTAAGTATTTTTCTTCTTACATTTTGGTACATGAACTTCTAAAAATTTACAAATAGGTCCACTTTTAAGAAACTTGTATTGTGTTTTATGAGACTTGTGGTATGTTTAATAAATTTCTGGTCTAGACTTGTGGTCTGTTTAATTATGTTGTCGTCTACATTTTGTGGAGTGGATTTTGTGGTTCCCCACCTCTTTCCCATTTAATTCACAAGGCACACGTGACGTAAATCCCTCTTCCCCCAATTTTTCAAAATACCTAGCGTGTCCCTCCTTTCTTTCTCTTCATTAATCTTGGTCAACTCATTAAAATTAAAAAGTCATCCAAACGAAATGCTTTTATTAGCTGTAGATAGTGTTAACTTAATGTTAACAAAAAACTGTTAGCACACTAGCACCTCCTCTCTTAGTATAATGTTACCATAATGCTAATAGAAAAGTGTTAGCACACTGGTCCCTCCCTCTTAGTCCTTACCTAGCTTCCACACTAGTAAATTACAAAGTGTAAGATTATATCTATGGGTTACGATTTACGAACTTAAGATAGCTAATAATCAAATATGTCCTTCTTTCGCAAAAAATAAAAGGTTAACCAAGAGATTATGAGTTAGATTCCTTTACGTACCCGAACCTATTAAAAAGAAATTTATCACATACAGATCGTTTGGTACCAAATGAATCAAGAATTCATTTTATTTTAAAATGAATTACTCTATAGAATTCATTATCAAATGAAATCTTTTGTTTGGTATGTCATATTCAAATCCTTAGAAACAAAATGAATTGTCATGCAAAATTTATTGTGAAATGAATTTCTGTGTTTGGTATGTCATATGTATAAGTAATTTAGTTATTAAAAAGGATAATTATATCATTCTATTGTAATTAATAAATACTTGTGGAATTTATTTTCCAATTCCATAGAATTCAAAATTTAGAATTGAAAATAAATTCTTCTGAATACCAAACACAAAAATATTTCATTTCAAAATGAATTTCACAAAACAAAACTTATTAAATTCATTTATACCAAATCCCACTTAGCTATACATCAAGAAGAGCAGCCAAATAACCAAATCTTAATACAGTCCATCCAATTTTAATATATGAGCCAAGTGCCCAAGTGCCAAGTCCCACCCTCCTCCCACAATGTAGTTTCAGTTCTAATATAATCAATCATTACCCCTTTAGAAATCATATAATAATAAACATTTTATTGATAGAATAAAAGAAAAAAAAATCTATACATTAATACACTAGGAGTCTTCGACCCTTGCCTTCAAATTCCCTCCCTTTTCCAGATCCCGCTTATAAATACAACCTGCCATTTCAATTCAAACTCGTCAAACCATTCCATCATTCAAACTTGCCTCTGCAAATACACCCACAAAAGAAGAATCCCTCCTCTCCTCCTCAAATTACCCTCTGATCAGCCATGGGGAAAACCTTGTACCAATGTTCCATTCTTCTCACACTCCTTGCCTGCCACGGAATCCTGCTGACCACAGAATGCAGGCAACTCCGTTCCATCACAAACCCACCACCGCCGGCATCCCCAATTTCAGACACTTCCGGTGATCAAGACGCAGGATCGAAGGAAGACTTCCGTCCGACGGCGCCCGGCGTCAGCCCTGGCGTCGGACATCCCGAAACCGGAAGTAGCAATGCATCTGATTCGAACGGTAAAGATGATTTCCGGCCAACGGCGCCAGGGTTTAGCCCCGGGGTCGGCCATGCAGTCGGGTTGCGGAACAGAGCAGCTTTTGGTGACGAAACAGGGGAGCTTATAGCGACCAAAAACTACAATAACGACGGTTTCAGGCCCACCGCCCCTGGGTTCAGCCCGCGAGCAGGGCACGCCGCGTTGACCGATGACGTGGACGCCTTCAGGCCGACGAAGCCCGGACAAAGCCCTGGAGTCGGCCATGCAGCCGAGCTCGAGAGCAGTGATGTTGATCAAAAGGGTTACTCTGTTTCAGGAGAAGCGCAGGATTTCAAGCCCACTCAGCCTGGACATAGTCCTGGAGTTGGGCATAAGAACTAGAGAAAATGAAAATATTGTCATTGATCACTATGCATATTTGGGGTAATTTGGATGACTAGTTAATCATTCATGTATAGAAATTTGGATCCTGAATGATATTCAATCTAGTTTTTTTCTTCTTTTTCGCGTTGATAGTTTAAATTGATTTCTATTATGATACGATAGTGTTTAAGGTAAAAAGGGGAGATATAGCTAGCCCCTAGTCCTGATTCCTGATGCATATTGTATTATATCTATGTATTAATTCTAGTTTTCATGTCCCTATTTGAAAATAAAAATTATACTTGGCATCTTGATATCGAATTATAAGACACAATGGCTTTGCAGCAAGTGTATTTTGATATTTTCTTTCATCCCACTCTCTTTTTTTTTTCTCCACTCCAAAAAGCATATGATACAACGATAGTATTCTGAAAGTATCAATTGAGGGATGTGTTTGGACTATCATATAATTCAAGTGTGTATTTTGATATTTTCTTTCATCCCACTCTCTTTTTTTTTCTCCTCTCCAAAAAGCATATGATACAACGATAGTATTCTGAAAGTATCAATTGAGGGATGTGTTTGGACTATCATATAATTCAAGTGTGTATTTTGATATTTTCTTTCATCCCACTCTTTTTTTTTTCTCCTCTCCAAAAAGCATATGATACAACGATAGTATTCTGAAAGTATCAATTGAGGGATGTGTTTGGACTATCATATAATTCAAGTGTGTATTTTGATATTTTCTTTCATCCCACTCTCTTTTTTTTTCTCCTCTCCAAAAAGCATATGATACAACGATAGTATTCTGAAAGTATCAATTGAGGGATGTGTTTGGACTATCATATAATTCAAGTGTGTATTTTGATATTTTCTTTCATCCCACTCTCTTTTTTTTTCTCCTCTCCAAAAAGCATATGATACAACAATAGTATTCTGAAAGTATCAATTGAGGGATGTGTTTGGACTATCATATAATTTAATGGGTTACTTCCACTGTTCCACTTTTATTAAACAGCAATTGTATGCCCTAAATAGAAATTAGAAAGCAACTTTGTACTCATGATTTCTTCTCTAGCTTAGAGAATTGACCTTTTGGGCTTGTTTATTGGGAAAGCAAGCTTGGTTCTCCCCTTGAATTGGGCCGAAATGGTGGCTAGATTCGGAGTCAGTAATAGCTAGTAATTGGGTTAAACTCATTTGAGACAAGATAGATATAGTATCAGAGCTATCTGGAAGCTCATACTTTCAAGTTTACATGATTGTCAATATTAATAGTTCACTTAAAACACGTAGTATGGTGAATCTGTGCAAATTCCAACCGATGAGTTGGTTTTTATTTGATCGAGTGTGTAAAAAAGTATGGTTAAGTACAATACACGGATCTCCCCTAACTAGTTATCAAGAATAAACCAGACACAATCCATAGACACACTCCATGTATGATATTATATTCCCAATACCATAGGAATTCCCAAATTAGCTTTAACCTCATACCCTCGCGTATTAACACTCCCCAATAAATTATTCCTAGATCTAACATCTTCTTTGACATAGAATCAATCAAATGAAACATTATTCGTTTTACAAATTCTCATATTATGTTTGATAATAATCCAGAGGTCCTTCATCCTCCACACCTAAGTTTTCAATCATACATATGTGAATACCCTCCTCGTGATACACACAACACATACAAGCAATAAAAAAGCTAGCTTCAATTGAAAACTGACAAGATAAAATAGAGATAAATCATAGAAAACTAAACAAGCATATATACATTGAAATCTATTCATAATCACAAAACTAGGTTTTATCTAATCCAAACAACAAAGAGAGATTAGTTCACGAAGGAAGGAGATACAAATGAAGAAGAAGAATAGGTGATGATCTCCATGTCGATTGCTGCATCGATTGCTCGAAATCGATTTCTCTAAGCTTGATCAGCAGAAAAGCCCTATGTATCCTCTTTAACTCGTATTTTTGGTTTTAGGTAAGTGGCTTAAGCCCCCCCTGAGTAAAACCTAAATTTCCCTTAAATAGAGCTAATATCGCGCCCGAACACAGGTTCAAATACAGATGTGCTTCGGGCTGTGTTTAAAGTTGGTTCCAGACTCCAAGACTTGCCACGACCCAAGGAACGGTCGCGCCTATGGCCGTGTCTAGCTTGATAGTGAATTTATTCGCTCTATTGGTCAATTCCTTGCAATTTATGATAGTTACGGGCACATCAACCAACATGCTTGTGTCCTAGGCCGTGTTCGACTAGTAAATTTGATTCCAAATTAAAGACGTGCAGATGCTCTTCAAATGGCTAAATTACACATTTGGTCACTCGAATTACATAAGCATTTCACGTTTGCCACCCAAATTAATTTTCTTTCAATGTAACCACTCACTTTACGAATCGTTTCACCGTTGGTCACCCTCCGTCAGTCTCCGTCAGACTCCGTTAACGCCGTCAGATTTTTGATGACGTGGCAAACGGAAGTGCTGACTGGGCTGACAGAGAGGCTAAAAAAGACGGCTTTGACTGCCTAGTCAGCCACATACCCGACCCAGCAATTTAATTGACCCGTTTTTTGTATTTCATTTTTCTTTTATTTTTATTGAAAACCCTCTAGCAAACCCTACCAGCCTCCGACCCGACCCGTGGATGAACCGCTCCTCCGTCGCGTCGTGCGCCAGAGCCGTAATCCGCAGCATCTCGATCGAATTGGGGGAACTCGACAGAGCCTGCATCAGCGCAATCATCATCACGCCTGAGCAGATCCGGAGCTCGACCACATGGATCCGCTTCTCTCCGTCGAGATTCTCCATCAAGATCTGGACGGCGGCGAGCTGGGAGGCGCTGTAGAACGGCACGCTGTTCCGGTACTCCATCACGCTCTTGTCCGGGAGCGTCACCGCCGCGTCCGATACCAACGGCTTCCGATGATCGTCTACCGATTCGCCGCCGCGGCTGGTCTTTTGGGCTTCGATCCGCTGGCGGAGGGCGTTGCAGAAGTAGTACCCGACCCCGCTGGACCGGACTGCCGGCCTGAGAAGCGAACCGGTCGCAGAGGTCGAGCACCTGGAGTGCGAGGCCGAATTTCCCCTTTCCGACGTTCTCCGCGCACTGGAGGAGGTACTCCATGAGCTCCACGTTATTGGATTCCTCCTGGGTGAGTCCCGTGAGGAGGTGGGGGACGTCGATTCCTTGCGCCGGCGACCTGGATTGTAAGATTCTGGCTCCGGCGAGCTTTATGTCCTGCAGAGAATAGAATACGAAGAGAAGAGAAGAAGAGAAGAAGAGAAGTGAAAAGCCCCTTCTGCCCGATCGTTTTCAGTTTTCCAACTAAAAGTAAACCTTTTTTCAATAAAAATAAAAGAAAAGAAAAATGAAATACAAAAAACGGGTCAATTAAATTGCTGGGGCGGGTATGTGGCTGACTAGGCAGTCAAAGCCGTCTTTTTTAGCCTCTCTGTCAGCCCAGTCAGCACTTCCGTTTGCCACGTCATCAAAAATCTGACGGCGTTAACGGAGTCTGACGGAGGGTGACCAACGGTGAAACGATTCGTAAAGTGAGTGGTTACATTGAAAGAAAATTAATTTGGGTGGCAAACGTGAAATGTTTATGTAATTCGAGTGACCAAATGTGTAATTTAGCCCTCTTCAAATCATCACAAATTGTATTCTTCCATTATTATTATTTTTGTGCAAAATATTGGCAAATTTACTTCCAATGACATGGAACACAATAAAACGACAAAATAGGGATAAAATTAGCAAAAAATAGAAATATTGCTTAAATAACCAAGTAAATTAAAGATAATATCAATGCTATGAAAACATGTTGATCACTCTCTCGTGGTTTAATTTTGAAAATCATAAAAACCTTGAAAATCTTGTGGTCGTGTTTGTTGATTTTTTTTTATCTTGTTTTATCCATGGTATCAGAGTCTCTTGATAACTTATAAATCATACATGCTTTTACTGACATTTTATTGTTGTTTGCTTCCCATGCCAACAATATTTCAAGTCACTTAGGATTGAATTTGGTGATATTTTGACATATAATGCACAAAGTATGAAATTTTGGAGCATTGGATGACTTGGAGAGCACTTGAAAGGTATCGATAGATGGAATGACGAAGTGTTCCAAGGCTATCCCACAGTCGTGGAGTTGGTCGTAGGAATTCCATCCAAAGACCTCGGAAGCAGATAAGGAAATTAACAATCGAGAACTTTCATGAGGAGCCCACGACCGTGGCGCTTCAGTGGAGCCGTTTGACAATTATACCAAAATTACACAATGTTCGAATTCATAGTCAGATTGCAAATGTGTACCACTTATGCAACACATAATTTGTTACTTATTACTTTATACAACACCACCTATAGAGGACATTGCTACAAGTGTTGCCAATATAATGTGCAACACTTTCCACACTTCATGCAACAATTAATAACTTCACAAGTGTTCATTTTTTCCAAGTATAGGGTTGGATGCCTAAAAACAAATTAGGGAAACCTCTTCAGTTGAGAGCTTTTTTATACAACTGCGACCTCTTTGCCTCTCTCTGTTCCATGAAACAAATACAATCCGTAAAGTGTTCCTCTCCATCTATATATTCATTGATCTCCATTTCCCTGGGGAAGAGGAAAGCTTGGCAAAGACCCTTGATGTACTGGATTTCATGCTTTAGGCCGAGCATCCCTATGGCTTGCATCATATTGGCAAGGAAGTCGCGAGTGCGGCCAACCAGGTGACAGTGGCCGAGCACCAGTCCTAAGTGGTGCGCCAATCGAGTGATATATGGGCCACCATGAATGTGCTCCACCTTCGAATGTGACTTTTCCCGGGGGAAGGTGATGGCGAGAATGGAGCTCAAGTGGAGGTGGCGCTACATAGACCCCATGTGGTAAAGTGCATACATCTGGCACTTCGTCACTTGCCCAGAGGCCTCCTAACCTAGAAATATTGATAATATGGGAAGAGCCTATAGGAAACGCCATGGGGAGCGTAACATGGTGACTTAGGGCTTTTTGAACATGAACTCATGGTCCACGTACCTTTATCGGCAAATCGCCTGGAAGAACTGCCGCCGGGGGGCTTGAGGGATGGTCGGGTCGATGTCGAACATCTACTGTTGGTTGAGGCCGATCACAACGATGAAATCGTCGTATGCCATGCTCTATAAGTAGATGGGGTCCGAGGCGTAAGGTGATTGTGCCAAGAGCTTTGGCCCCGGTGTTCCTCCTGTGTTGGAATGTACTATAGAATTCCAGGGATAGTTCTACGAGGATGTCGTCAGCTAGCTC